GGTGGTAATTGTATGTAAAGGCCCTTTCGTCTATCCACACTACTGTGAAAAAGCTAATATCAAGTCATCGAGTTTGTGTGTATGTGTGTATATTTCTCACAAATGAAAGAGTATTATGGAAAGTATTTTTACTTTTGTGGTCTTTGCTATTGTGAGAAGTTAGCTTGAGATTTGCGAACAGAAGTAATCTAAGGCTGCAAGGTTCAAAATATAGAAAATCAGACCCAACTTTGATATAGAGATGAGGTAGGACCTATAAGCAACCTAAATAGTAAAGGGCAAATATTGTAGCTTAGCTTGTTTCCCAAAAGGGAAGATTGAGTTCTAACCAACAACAAACCGTAAGAGCAGGATACATTTAATGAGGAAAAGAAAGCTTCTGTTCAAGAGATACAAAAGGGGCCCTGAATGTGGATGATAGATGAGCCCATTTATCAGGGGAAGCTTTATGGAGTAAAATCACAAGGTGAGTGTAAAGAGAGACAAAACTATGATCAACTAATAAGATTACAAGTATAGTTATTTAGGTATATTGGTCTAGTGCAATCTTACACCGTGGGTATAAATTGGGATAAAATTATAGTCAACCAATAAGATTATAAATATAGTTGCTTAGGACTGGAGAATCAGCTCACTGGGATAAGCACCTGCTTGTCAAGTGCAAGGACCTGAGTTCGATTCCCCAGTACAAAAAAAAAAAAAAAAAAAAATAGAGCATGGCAACTACAGTTGCTTAGATAATTTTGCTCTAATGGAGAAGCAAGTCATGTAGCAACTGTACATGGAAGGAACAAGAATTTTCTAGAGGAGAGCTCAGGGATTCTTGCTGGCTTCTCACCCACATGATTGATCAAGCTATTTAAACTATCAGTCATTGTTTTTTATCACTAAGGAAAGTAGGCCTTACGTCTGTCTCATTTCCTGCATACTTTTAACTAACTTGACTGTCTCTAATATTTCCCCTTCTCAGGATGTACCCCTTAGTCCCATGAAGGGGCACAGGGCAATGACAATTCTGGCCTTTTCTGACTAAAGAGGGGTGGTAGTTGTGATTGGCAATCAGAGATACTCTCCAGAGGGTCTGTGTGAAAGGGCCCTCAAAGTTGCAGGCATTTTGATCTTCACTAGGCATACAGCTTTAAGCCTGGAGGGTGCGAATCTAAAGAAACAGTTAAGTATGTATGGGCCAAACAATAAGATCTACAACATTATTTGGAGTACAGCCAACAAAAGTTTCCACCAAGAAGATCTAGCAATAACCTTCCACAAAGGGCAAGAAGAAAGTGTAGGGAATTTTAGAGTCTGACATGACATTTACCTGCTGTTTAATGTCTTGCACAGCCATTGAGATATTAGCAGAAGGATCAGGAATGTACGCACACCATTTAGCTTTCACAACTGCATAAGCATCCCCTTCTGCCACAGTTAGTATGTCTAATGGTATCCTGTTTTCGAGGACAGATTATCTCCTTAATTTTACTTTTTAAGGGAGAGTGATCAGTCTTGGTGTCACATTGACAGTGTAGTGACCTAAGTCTCAAAGTCTTGCATGTTGCATGACACTTTCTAATCCTAGGAAAGGGATAAAGATAGAAGTGAAACGATCATAACAGTGAAACAGAAGCCAGTGAATAGCTCAGCAGACTAAAGCACCTGCTTAGGCAAGCTAGGGCAAGTGCGGAGACTGCAGTTTGATCCCCAGCACTACATGCTGCACCAGCCCTACTGCCAGGGCAGGTTGAGCCAGCCAGAGTCCTGGCGCAGTGGTATACATCTGCAATCCCAGTGCTGGTGAGGTTGAAAGCAGGAGGATCACTAGGAGTCCAAGCTACATAGTGAGACCCTACAACAACCAAATACATTAAAAACAATAACGGTGAAACACTTTTCTATACCACTGATATGGTAGGTTGGGTAAGTTTGCAGGTTTGTTATTCTTGCCCTATAACCACATAAGTCCCAATGTATGCTGTTATGGGAAAAATATAGTAATTCTCACCCTTTTAGAGGTCAGATGTACTGAGTACATGGTCTCACAACCATAAGAAACAAAGTTTAGAACCAGAAGAGGCATTTAGGAGACTTTTTATTGAAAATAAACATAGCTCCTGGATTTCTAGGAAGGGACCCAAGTGGGTAGCCATCAAGGCTCTTTGTCAGGGATCATTTATTTAGAAAAATCACAATGTGGATGCAGCATGGGTCCAGGTACAGTTAAGATATAGGATTACAAGCACAATTGCTAGCTAATACTGATCCAATACAGAAAGAGTCACATACTTAGAGCATATGGAAAGAAGAAAGGCATTCTTAAAAAGATATGGGTTAAGCGCCTTTTTAGGGAGAGCACAGCAACAGCCAGGAATCAATCCCTGAGGCGTGCTGAGAAGACAAATGAGACTGGACATGGTGGCGTGCACCTGTAATCCCATCACTTGGGAGGCTGAAAACAGGAGGATCACACTATGAGTCTGATCTATGTGGTGAGACCCTGTAGGCCCTTCCCTAAAATACATTAAAAATAATAATAAATAAAAAAATTTTAAACAGGAAGATGGGAGTATGGATTCACATGTCCTGGCCACCCAATTATGGATTTGATGCTCATCTTTCAGTTAAGGTCATTTGTTTCCTTTTTTGGGATGAGGATATTTAGCTCAAAACTGTTCTGCTCCACCGAAGACAGCACATCCTTTATCTGTTTCTTTAATATAACCTTCCAGTCCATGTACTAGATATAGACAAAGGTACCATTGGGCAAGTGACTGTAGATCTAAAACTGATGTGGAAAGCCAACTGATCCAGGGAAACTTCCAGTGGGGCCTGCCTCAGCCCTGTCAAACAATGGGGACACTTTTCCCTCACCCACCACTAGCATCTTTGACCTTTGGGGAGCAGCAACCAACAATGGGGGCTTGGCCCTCAGTTCCTCCTTCAGATTCCTATTGACTCCTCAAATGGGGTCCACATTATTCCTACTGCAGGCTAGGGATCTATGCCTCAGGGTACAGTGGGAATCTTGCTAGGCTGCAACAATCTCATTTTAAAAGATCTCCAGATTTTTGCCTTGTGTCATCGGTACTGATTATGCAGGGAAATCAAAGTCATAATTCCATTCACCAAAACCATTGTATAATCCATAGTAGACTCATATTGCTTAACTGGTCATTCTTTCTTTGATAAAAATTTTAAAATTAATAAAAAGTAGGGATTA